AAAGAATAAAAGACATATTCAATCTACACCATCGGTAACTTCAACATCAGCCAATGAGACTCAGCCCAAAAGTTTGACAGTAACGGATACAGAATTGCGAGAACTTATTCGTCAAGGTTTAGTAGTTGATGAAGTATACGAAGTATTATCATATGATCGAAAAAACATGCCTTGGATTGATGACTTTATTAATCTTTCGATTAAGCTCGAAAACCAATGTGATAATCCAAGAGAAAAAGCATATCATTCCTTAATGAGAGAACTCTTTAGTATGAAGGCATTTCGTGATATATCCAGTCAAGATGGACTCATCTCCAAATCAGAATATTATAGAAATAAAATAGATACTCGCATAACTAATTTCATCCATTCTAATGGGCAAGGTAAAAAAGGATGGTTAAGTCATGGATCAGTTGCGATATTACATCAACTGTCAACTACGGAAATAGTGGTAGATTTGCTTAATGATGCTGAAAATAAAGGTCCTGAAATGTGTGGACAAATAATCGTTTTCTAAAAGATATTTCCAAAAGTCACGTAAAATTTTCTTGGTAAAAACCATTCCCTCAGGGAACAATCAGCCAAAGTAACCTATATATTTTACTTGACTGTTTCTATATATATTAACGAACTTTTGAATATTTCATATCTTCTATAAGAATATTATCGATCATGTCATCCGAACTTGATTCATTGAAACAACGTATCATTGAGCTTCTGGCTGAGAATGCTGAGATTAAGGCCAAATATATCAAGGTTATGGATGAGAATGCAGAAGTCAAGGCTGAGAATGCAAAGTTAAGGTGCGCTTTGGAAGAACATGAAGCTAAGTTCACGAGACTAGAGCAGAGAGATAAAGAAAAAACCACTCTTATTGCCAAAATGGATGATGATATCAAGGAAATCAAACAATCATCGGCCAATGCCAGCTCTGTCGAAAATCCCAACAATGTTGTTCGCCTGGGTAAACTAGAAAAGATGGCAAAGTCATCAAATACATCTGATAGTACATTTAATTCTAATGCATGCAAACCTATTCGTACAGAAACTAAGTCGTTGGATGATAAAGAGACAGATGATTTCTTGAATGAGGAGCATAAGAAAATTGTCAGCGAAGATATTAGGTAATACAATAAGGAGAAGAAACTCCAGCGTGAATCAGCTAACCAGGATGTTACCTTTGGTAACGCTTATGTATCAGAAACTGTTAATAATGTTGAGAAGGTATATGAGCCAGAGATTAATAATATTACTAATTGTACTCCCTCAGAATCATCTCATGAAATAGAGGTCGATCCGCAATCGGTCAATATAGATGTCTCCTAGGAAGAAATCCCAAAATGTATTACAAATTCCAAGATAGATTCGAAATTATCACGTGTATAAAACCTGTGAACAGTGTTCACATGTTTTCTGAAAATTCAAAATCGTCACATGAGAGAGAAACCATTACCAATACCCGCTTAGAGATAGAAAGACCGGTGGAAGAAGAATCTTTCTCGAAAATAGCTATCGAATTCGTGTAAGGTTTGTTGGAAGAGCTTCTCTCATCTGACGATCTACTCCAGACTATAAAGTTTTCTTCTTCCAAAACCACAGTTCTTGGATCGATAAGTATTAAGAGACTTGCCAATTCATTCTGCCAAGCAAATGGTGCAAGAAATAGATCGATCACAGCAAAGAGAGCAGAGATAACAGCTTAGCATTTATTCTCTGAAAGGTTCGAAAATAAAGTAGTGGAACTTAGATCTAATGATAAGAAACTTACAGATCAGACTGCAAAAAAGCAGATCTATAATGAAATGAAGCCGTATCTCACAGGTATTTCAGATGAATATTTACGCAAAATGACCTCTAAGGCAAGAAAAATCAATAAGTTATTATGGTTTGAATATGATCCTGTAATTCTGAAAAAGATTGATGGTATCCTAGTTATATGGTTCAACGGGTCACCTGTAGCGCTGACAAAATTTCAAGGCTCACTAATCCTCAAATCAATTATATTATAGAACAGGTCAAATCGAAGAGAATTACTGATCAGAGTTATGAGAATGAAATCGCCTCGACCATAGCCAATACATCAGCTAATGACCCCTCAGATGATAATTTTAGTGACACGTCTGATATTACATATTATTTTAAGGAAAAAGGAGCGAATGATTCGGCCGAAGGCGAGGAGGATTCTAAAAAGTCTGGAATAATCGCTAAGGCAGACAATGATGACGATGTGTATTTTTATTCCGAAGATGAGGAAGTGAAAGAGGCGAATGAAGAGATTCCAAAGGTACCAGATGTGGTAGATGATGATAGTGACTGTAGCCACGACAATG